AATAGCATGCAACAAATTATTTTGAGTGAAGGTTAGGATCCATGTAAGATTAATGGTATTTTATAGGTTTACAATTGGCAAAAAAAATTTATGGATTGAAAGTTTAATTTTAGTTATATAGATACATGTGCTAAAGAAAGCTAACAATCACATTCTGAATGTGTATCAATCTCTATAAGTGTTAGAACTATTGGGTAGTGACAGTCAATAAGATTGCAAACTCAAGCCAAAACTTTGTGAATAACCATATTAATGCATTTTACCTTTTAACATATATTCTTTAAGTTTTATATTAGCATTTCAAGGTGGGAGAAGGCAATGTATGTTTACTTATGCTTTTCAACCTTTCAGGTTTTCTAAACTTAAGATTCATCAACTACTAATTTACCAAACACTAAATGATTTTTCACCATTACCTAATAATCCAAGTAGTCCAAAACAAAACTAAATTCCCTTCTTAAAAAGAAATAAAAATCCTCTCCTTCCTAATAAAAAACCCCCCTCTAGATGAATGAAAGAATCTAAGTATTAATCATTTTTTATAAACCCTAAACCTTGAATCTTAAATATTTATAAACAATAAAAATCTATATTTCCAAAGGGGTGATTGTATTAGTACATAAACAGGTATAAAGTAATAAAAATTTCAAAATTTTATTTATAAAAATCAACTAATTATAGAAAAAATTTAAAATTATGCAACTAGTTTTATTCTACAAATAAATGTGAACATCATAAAACTAGTTTAGAAATTAATTAAATAGTTTTATATGAAAATTATAATGTAGTTATAGGGTAATTATAAGAATTTTTATCACTTTTATGTACCACTATAATATACAAGCTCTAAATTTAATGTAGTAATATGAAAAATAAATTTTTTTCTAACTTTCTCTTCCTTATATTTACAAAGTTTTTAAGTATTTATAATACTTTTTTTTAAACCTCTAGAAAATTTCTTCCAAAGAGTGTAACTATAAGAACCAATATTTAGCTAGATTATACTTTTATGAATTACTTGAATTTAATTATACAACAAGAATTTATAACATGTTTAGTCAATAGCTCCAAGCATAACTAAAGAACTTATGAGCTAATTATAAATAATCAACACTTAGCTGAACCTAAAATGAAAACTATAAGATAAGATTTATATATGTATATAACCTTTTAATAGACAAAGTTATAGTGTGAATACTAATACTTTCATTACAAACAACTAAGTTAAATGTCATTATCCTCAATTAAGATGTAAGGCCACAAAGACTAAGTCAAAACTAATGAAAGTTTACTACTTTCCTAGAGTTTAGTCCAATAGAAAATACAATTTGCCACTATGCATAATGCTAAAGAAGAAGGTATAAATGTTAACCACTTTCTATGCTAACTCTAAGCTTTATTCAACTTAATTGCCTTAACCCCAAAAGCTAGCATCCCTTTCAAGTTGCATCATTTAAATTACCACATAAAGTTAGTATCCCTTTCAAGCTGCATCATTCAAATTACCACATAAAGTTTAAGCCACTTAAACTCAACTTCATTCAATTTGATTGGTAATTCAACTTGATTAGTTTGTAATAGCTTTATAAAAATGGAATGGTTTTCAGGCAAAAATAAATCAGCTACTGGAAAAGTTTTTAAAAAATTATAAAAAACATTTTAGCTCAGAAATACAAATTCCCAATTGTTAACCAACTTCATATAAGTTCACCTTAATATAAACTCCCATAACTCAAGAGAATGCATAAATATTTAAAAATATACTTATATATTCAATATTTGATATTGACATCTGCTAGAATGCAAAATGAATACCTAAGACTCAATCACAAAGATCATATCTTTGGATATTTATATTGCACTAATACTCTTCTTCAATCACTTTTAAAATTTAGTATGTAACCAAAACAATAACAAGAGAAATAACATGAAAATCAAGCTCTAAGAAAAACTCTTTATCATTTGATGTAATAATGCCACTTTTATTATCATAAGTGTTAGCAATGTAAATGCCTTAATTTCACACATTCTTTAGTTTACAATTTACCTATGAACAATCAACAATTTATAAATTCACCAACAAGTTATAGCAAATAAATACTACAATTTTTCTAAAACCTTAATGGACAAAATCTCAAGGAACCAAAGTATTAACACTAGCTTAACATGATGGATCATGAAAAACAATGCTATTACTTGTAAGTAAACCAGCATCATGATCAACCTTTTTGGGGTTGATTATTGTTTGACTAAGCAACTTTGCAAATACATTGCTTATGATCACAAAAACATGATATAGAAATCAAATAACTTGATAATCATTTAAATGATATCACAAACTAAGCCTATACCACTACTATAAAGGTTTATACTAGTATTAAGTGCTAACTCAAATGATAAAATGTAGCATAAATGCCATATCCCATTGATATAGATTTATAACACTTAATACCACTTACTTCATTTATAATGTAAACAAATATATATTATTCTTTGTCTGACCAACTAAAAAATAATCTAACACTAAGTTACCCAACTAAAAAGAATTGAGCATTACAACACAAACCTTTTGTTAGCATGTTTAAGCAAAATGGTTTAGCACTTCACCACTATTTAATCCATGGCACACCACTTGTAGGACAATTATAATTAACATGTAGGGACTCTTGATTGCATAATGTAAATATGAGTAATGAAATTACACTTTGTTGCAAATTATTTCTTAAATAAAAGAAGATGATTTACATATTTAATCCTTTATCTCTGATAATTTTCTTTTGGGACTCAATTTGACTAAACCTTAAACTTACGAAAAAAAATATCAATCTAATAAAAGTTTATAACAATAACTAATTGAACTAATAAGCTCATCCATACATCCTTAATTGATCACCATAATCATGTTTAAAAGCAATCCACTAATGCCATGCTGAATACCTACAAATGAAATTGATAGAGAGTATAACAATACTAATTTTTTGCTGTCATAGAAGATAATAATATCTAAAAAGACTCATTGACACATAACTTATAGTACCAATAATCACATTCATGACAAAGACAGGTGATCTTAAGTATATAATAATAATTTCAATTATGTCATTTAGTTTTTAAAAGTTAATGTATCTAAAGCTTCCACAAAGAAGTTCACAATGTTTAGAATTTAATTTTATAAGATGAAAGAATCTGTTGAACTCAAGAAAATTATTATATTAAATTTATATTCAATGTAGAAACTCACCTTTCTGAAAAAACCTATCTGGATGGATCAACCAAAAAGAAGCTTGGAGTAGGCGCATTTCGGTGAGCGAGATCACTCTCGGATCCTGCATTGGCATTTCTGGCCCGCCCATGTAGATTTTGCGGTTTTGTTTGTGGATATAGGTCCTCTCACCATGGCGCATCTTGCAATCTCGACGCTTATGCCCCCGACAGTGAAACTTAAGCTCGTTGTGACAAATTCTATTCCTCCGAAACGAGGATTTGGCCAGAGTGCTCCACAGAAGAAAGAGGCAGCTACGAAAAAGCAGCAGGAGCTCAAGAGTGTGGTGAAAGAAGTGGAGAAGGTATAGAACTTTCTTTGTGCTTTGTTTGTTCTTTGCAGAAGCAATTGCTTCTTTCCCCAACTTGTAGGAAGTGAAGCACCGGAAGAGAAGGCTGCACATTGATCCCGAGGTCGCAGCGAAAGGAAAGGTGGATTTTGTGCAAGTAGAGTCGTGGGACGGAGGAGAGAATCCAGAGGACCTTGAGAAGCTCAAGCTCAAGAGTTTTAGTCCATCGGCCAGCTCTTTTGGGAATGACTTGCCATTCTACGAGCAACTTGTGAAGCGAATTCAGCTCTTGGAAAGCAAGGTATTTTTGCTAGAAAAAAAGAACAATAAGAACGAAGTTAATGAGATTTGTTTTTGCAGGGAGACATTGCGGTTGTGCAGCCGCGAAAGCTTCCTCCATTCGAGAAATGGAAGTTTGGAGAGAAGAAATACGTGCAATACCTTGTCGACCAGGTCAGTGTTTTCTCTTTTTCTTTCTGTACGAAAACTTTGATGGATTCGTGGTATTTCTTAGCGCGCAGTGTACCGCGCATTAGGCAGTGCCATCGAAATCTGTGCTGCTATCGAAGACAGCGTTGCCATTTTCAACGACAAACTAGGCTTGAATCGTTCCTCGGTAAGCTTTCCTCCAAGTTTTTTTTGTTCTCGTAAGCATGCATGAGACCACGAAACTATGAAAACCAACAGGCCATTGAAGCGGATCTAACAGCGATGCAAAAAGAGAGCTCGTTGTCCACTCTGCCAGAACCAAACACTCAAACGCTTGCATATGTGAAGGTATGAAACACTCACACTTGGAAAAATGGTGGCTACTTTTTCTGCAGTACATTGAGCAATTAGCAAATCCATCGCCGGGCCAAAGCGAAGAAAAGTCGAGAGAGAAACGTCTGAGACTCCTGGCACACATTTTTGGCGTAAACGTATCACATCTATCAACAGGTAGGAGAAGAACAAAACTTTGATAGAGTTTTGACAAGTTTCTTGTGCTGGAAAACAGGAATGAGAATTGGTGCCAAGGCTGTAGAGTGTCTTCCAGTTTTGTCCGAGCGCAAGGCATTCTCGTTTTACCACGTCTATCCAGAGGTAAACGTACCGAAACTTTTCAAAGCTCCAGCAAAGTTCTTCTCGTGCACAGGGCGTGAAAGATCCGATCAAAGTTCTCATTGCTGCCTTCAACCAAGTTGGCCACCTCATCACTGCTGAAGACGATCGCGAGGAGGTAACTTCGCAATTCGCTCTTCCCTTCTTCACTTTGCCTTTTAATCTTCTCAGGTGATGCAAGAGCTTCCCAGAGCGATACAAAAGGCCAGCCTGCTACTCTCCAGCCTTGCTGTTGTCGAGTAGAAGGAAAAAAAAGAAGAGAAAAGAGGAGTTAGCCAAGAAGATCTTCGGGCTTTTGTGAGTGCCTGTAACGTTTCGTCCTCCACCAAAAGTAAGAACGGCCTCCTTTCAGCTCTCCCGTTCTTTGAATTGTTTCTTCGAAATTGTCCCAGGTGGTGGCTTTTGTCTGGTTTGTTTCTTTGCAAGCTGTGGCGATGGTAGATCCAACTCGTAACATGGTTCCAAGATCGACTGAGAATCGACTGGAGAAGAAATGTCGACTGGAGCGGTCTCTCGGGCTCTCTGTTGCTTGGACATTCTCATGGCTTTACGAACGACATCCTTGTCCGCATCGCTGGAGCAAACGAAAAGAGCCGTGCCGTAAGTTCCATAGTCGGGCCGGAATCCATCCAGGTCCATGAGCTTGAACAGCCTCAACGCTTGAGCCGGATAGCCTTGCCGAGTGTACGCGGAGATCATCGAGCTCCACCAGCTACTTGTTCTCTCCGGCACACTGTCGAACAGAATCCTCGACTCCTCCACGCTCTTGAGCCGCAAGTAAGCACCAAAGATGGAGTCCCACGTCGAGAAGTTCCGCTCGGGCATGGCGTCAAACACCACCTTTGCAAACTCCAGCTTGCCGACGTCCGTGCAGCAAAGTCGAAGCATCGTGTTCCAGACCTCCACGCCGGATCCCGAGCGAAAGCCATCGAAGAGTCTCTTGGCGGAGTCGAAGTCGCCGGCTTCCACTCCAAAGGCTTGGATCAATCGCCCGAGAGCTGCAGCCTGGAGTGGAGGTGCAATGTTTAGCAGCAACGAGGCCTGGACGAGCAGCTTGTTCTTCACGTAGCACTCGACCATGGCAGCCCAGCACGAAGCGCTCGGTTGAGGCATACTCTCGAAGACGTTCTTGGCTTCCATCACCATTCCCTGGCTTCCATATCCCCGGATCAGCATCTCCGATATCTCGGGATCCAACACCCGTGAGGTTTGCGGGATTCTTCGGAAGATCATCCTGGCTTTGTGAGGCTTTCCTTTCTTCACGTACGCTGCGATGATCCCTTTGAAGGATCCAAAATCACGTCTTGGTATTCGCTTGAACACCAGCTTGGCCTCGAGGAGATGCCCGCTCCTTGCAAATGCTGCGAGGATAGAGTTCCAGGATAGGATATCTTTGTGGTGGCACTTCTCAAAGACTCGCTGGGCGGACTGGAGTTTGCCTTTGTTGACGCAGGCGATGCACATCGCAATGCAAGCCTCCATGCTGAACTGTGGCATTCTCTTGAACGCCCTCCGGGCCTCATCGAAGTGCCCTTCCTTTGCATAAGCTGCGAGAAGATTGTTCCACAAGGGAGGACTCATTGCCAACCATGACCTAGAAAAGGCTTTTCCGTGAGAAAACCAAAAGAATGAAGCTTGCCTTTTGATCACGTCACGCAACTGCCATGCCTGGACAACAGTATTATCGATCTACTCGCTGAATAGGTACTTTGAGGGGCGTTTTAGACTCCATATAGAACTGTTCAGAAGATGAATGTGAGCAATGTGGATCTCCATCATCTGACAGACATTTTCATGGCTAAGGTGGTCTTAAATTTTAATTCTTGTATTTGTTGTTTGAAAACAAATTTGTGTTATATCATGTCAATACTGAATTTAAACCTCTGGTCACTCTTGGACCTTATTACCCTTGGAGGGCCTCCGCGCTAACATTGTATCGATATAGTTTTTCAAGTTTTATGTACTAAGCAGCTTTATTTTATTCTAAAAATGAAAAATAAAATAAAAAACAGAGAAAAAAAAAAAACTTTATCATCGCTTGCTGGGTTGCTTGTTGTTGTTGTTGATCTGGAGGAGGTTCTGGTCCATGGAGTTTGGTAGCAATGATGTCGAGGGGTGACAGTGTTTGATGCAAGAGATTCATAATGTTCTTACCAGACTTTGCCTATATTGTCGCCCCCACAAGTACTGCTCAAATAATTCTTGCTCAGTGTGCTGATACGCCAAGGATCTGCACAGGAGAAAACGGGTCAAAAGCAGTGATGAACTAGTCAAATCGTTTGTTCTCACGCACCTGTTGAAGCACCAATTTGATCTGATCTTCTTTGTAGACCAAAACACCCTGATCAAACCGGCACTGTCTTGCACATTGATTTAAACTTGCATTTTCTAACAAGACAATGAGAATCCAACATAAGGAAGGTTGTAACAAGTGTAAAGCAGCGCGCGCCTCCACGACATCAAGCCCCAGATCATATCATCTTACCCCACTGGCGGCAGTGGCTCCAGGTCCGGTTCTTGACATCCATATCACCGCAAAGCCAAAGCTTCAACTGTGAGATTAGACAGCTCAGGTATTCACACCCCGAGCCCTCATTTCCAAGCATTTTTAGCGAATAGTCCAGCCACGAGATGCTCAACCACCATGTTCTTCTTGGTTAACTGCATCATCCTCTCCTCAATAGTTCCCCTAGCACTGATTAGCGGAGCCTATCTAGATCATCACCTGGACATATGAAAAAATTTGAGTAACAGCATCTGGAACAAGTTTTAATACCTACTTTGCTCGTCTGACCTATGAGCACGAGCCTGCAAATCAGCATGTGGATTCCAGTCACTAATTTTGATGAGACATGGTATCTCAGCCTTCACAGCTTAGAAACTCAACCTGCTGGTTAAGTACTGAGGCAGATATTTCTCTTGGGCATCTTTCACTGTCCCCTCCCCCCCCCCAATTAATAATATTGTCTTCATTGCTTGTTCTTAGACTCAAACTTAGATTCGGTCTCACACTTGATTTTGGATTCGATCTCAGACCCAACTTCGGACTTGATCTTGAACTTGATCTCGAACTTGGTCTCAGACCCAATCTTGGATCTCGGACTCAGTCTCAAACTCGGTCTCTAACTTGGTCTCGCACTCGGTCTCGGAGCTGGTCTCAAACTTGATCTTAGACTTGGTATTAAATTCGGTCTAAAAGTCGGTCTCGGACTCAATTTCGGACTCAGTCTCATTTGATAAATTCTTTATCATTTCAATCATGCTTTCGAGGATCCTTTAGCCTATGACACCTTGGAGAGTTGGTTCCTTACAAAGAGTCGTAGTAAAGATCTTTGAGAGCACTGGAGACTGGATGCACGATTGCCTACATTGTTCTCTCAAATATATACTTGTTAATCAGGAGGTGGGACAAGGTTTTGATGAGTTGAGATAAGTTTAAGAGTGATTTATAAGGGTTTAAGTATAAAGGGAAAAGGCCCATGAATAAAAGTGCACCCTTTTTCCCAATTAGTTAAGGGTCTTGAAATATTTAAGGTTAAGGGTCTTTGAGTTTAAGTAATACTAAGTTGGGCTTTCCAAAAAGTTTAAATTCAAAAGTTTATAATTTGGTAAGAAGGTTTGAATCAATGAAATAATCAAGATTCTAATTGAAGAATTCACGATCAAACACAAAGCTTTAACATCATACTACTCTCAAATTTACAAATAAAACACTTAAAAAGATTATGAAAACAAATTAAAAAGATTGGGATGAATGCACCTTTAGTGCTCTTTGGGCATACTAAATAGTTTATATGGTTTCAATAAACTCAATACTATTCAAGCTTGCTTATGATGTAAAAGCTTTGAAGCTTTGAAGGAAAAAATGGAATGCTCCAGATTGCATGATCTGGAAGGGGTTGCAGGTTAGAAGTGAGGACTTTCCAGAAATTCATGAGGGAACTGTCTTTGCTACCCTTGCCCTTGTTCTCAGCAGCGGCTTCATGGATCTGGGAGTGATTTTCTGAATAGACAATTTCATAAGATGCACTTGTAGTGTGTCAATTTTTATAACAATTGCTAAGATTTTGCTAGGTTAGCACACAAATAGGAGCTATGAACCCCATTCCTTCAGACAAGCAGTTGCAATCCATTTAATTCTTCATAGGCATTGATCCAGATCTAGAGTCACGCAGATCATTACCAATTAATACAAATTTAAAATATAAAACTGGAAATTTCAAAATAAATAATAAAATAATGTCATATTTTTATTCAAATTACTTGCTCTTGAAATTTCTTCAAGATGGCTTATGCACAGACATCAGCTTACCAACTTCCAAGTGGAAAGATTAGCTGAGTATAAGTTAAAAGGCCCCAGGTTTACATATCTGTAAGGAACCAACTCGCCGAGGTGTCGTAGGCTAAAGGAACACCCCGAAAGCATGACCAAAATGACAAAGAGTTCATCGGATGAGACCAAGTCGAAGATCGAGTCCAAGACCGACTCTAGGACCGAGTTCGAGATCGAGTCCGGAATCGAGTCCGAGACCGACTCGGGGACCGAGTTCGAGTTCGAGTTCGAGACCGAGTTCGAGACGGAGTCCGAGATCCGAAATCGGGTCCGAGACCGAGTCCGAGGTTGAGTCCGAAGTCGGGTTCGAGATCGGGTCCGAGATCGAGTCCGAGATCGAGTCCGAAACCGAATCTGAAGTCGGATCCGAAATCGGGTCCGAGATCGAGCCAGAGACTAAGTCCAAATACTAATACGGGTCAAGGGGTGAAAGCCCAAAGCGTGCGTCTCCCGGGGGGGGGGGGGGGGGGGCTGCAGGGGGTTCCAAAAGTATAGTAGGGATAGTGAGGTCCAGGAACCAGTTTTGAAGGGACTCTCCAGTTGGGCTTCCAAACCGACTTGAGGTTGAGACTGGGACCGAGGGGCCTTGGGTGGGAGTGAGCATGGACTTGGCTGGTGCCGGAGGGGCCATCCAAGGAAGTGCTCAAGAGCAGCTCCCACTCCCGAAAGGGAAACCGATTGCGGTGCTCCCGGCTCATGTGGAGTGGTGCCCCACTTGAGTACCATGCGGCTCATTGGTCCTCGCCCTCCCTAGGGGCTTGGGCTTTCCTTCGGGATGGAAGTGGGGGGCGAGAGGTACCCATACCGGGCCGCTAGGCCACGGTGTTTCGCCCCGGCATCCCGAAGCAAGTGTTGCACTCAAGACTTGGGATTTAGAGGGTCCCATGATCAAGTCTTGTGGTACCAAGGGATGTTAGGAACCTGGAAGCTTGGTGTGCTTGGCTGCTTGTGCTTGCGGGGAGTGTAGCCGAACCTTAAGTCCAGTCTAACCCGGGGAGGGGGATTGGGAGTGATTTGGGAATCCGTGGAAGGATGGCTAACACTCCGTTGCTCGTGCAGTGAGTAGCTGAAACCAAGTAGGAGCTGGTACCATAGGCGAGAACCTTGGCGAGGGAACTTAGCAAAAGCCAAGGCAGCGTTGGACGGATAGACGAGGTAAGCTGGCAAATTGGAAAGGAAAAATTTGTGGCTTACAATTTGGTATCGGAGCCTTTATCTCAGTTCTAGCGAAGGATAGAGGCGGATTGCTGGGAGATGGCAAGGGCAGGGCATAAGCAAACCCAGGCGGAGACGGAACCTCCGCCGGAGCTAGAGCCTCCGGTCGAACAAGAGGCTATGGATGAAGAATCCTTGCATGAGGAGGACTCTAGTGAGGAAACTTCCAAACAGGAGTCCGGTGGCGAGGTTCGGTCGTCCAAGGCTCGATTGGACGTGCTAGAAGGACAGTTGGCACAGACCAATGCCCTGCTCGAAACTCTCGTACGCAAGCTAAAACGTGACGAGAGGCGGAAGAAAAAGAAAAAGACTGCGGATGCTGGCAGCGCAGAAGGTGTGGATCTTTCGGCTGGGACTGAGGCAAAACCAGACAAGGTCGAACAGACCGAAGTAGAATCAGTCCCTCAGGCAGTTCCCAAGTACAAACCAAAGCCCCCACCGGTCTTCAAGGGAGTGAACGACTATAAGGTGGTGGAGGATTGGTTTTACGATATGGAGGACTACTTCTGAGCGTTGCGGTTACCGAGCTCGGAGAAGGTCCCATGTGCAAAACCATACTTGGCAGATAATGCCAAGTCTTGGTGGAGAACGATGGAGGCCAACGAAGGACCAGTGGCCACTTGGGATATGATGAAGGCGAGGATCCGCGCAACATACGTTCCTCCGAATGCCACTCTGCATCTGAGAGATGAGTTGAGTAGGCTGAAGCAGACTGGAACCATCCAGGAATATGTGAATGGGTTCATGGCAAAGAGGATACTTGTCACGGACATGGGGGATATGGATGCGTTCCATGCCTTCATATCAGGTTTGCAAACTTGGGCTCGCGGTGAGGTGATGCGGTGGAACCCGACCAACTACAAGGAAGCGTTGGATGCGGCCATCAAGGTGCATTTCAACGATAACCTGCGAAAGGGGAACACGACGGGGTCGGGATTCACATTTAGCAAAGGGGCCAAACCAAGGGGAACGTATAGCAAGGGGAAATTCAAAAAGAGTTTCTCTAAGAATGAGTCCTCGGGGTTCCGGAAAGGCAAATCCGGTGGCCAGCGAGCGAGTACGTGGGGGAGTCAAGCGAAAAAAGACAAACCCACGGATAAGAAGGTCAAGTCGTATAGCAGCGTGGGAAACAACGTATGCTACAACTGCGGCGAAGCGGGACACTTCTCGAGGGAATGTCCCTACCCGAAGAAGGCCAGAGCCAATATGGCCATCAAGTCGGGTGAAGTCCAAACTGAGGTATGTGATCCAGTCCCTAACTCAAAGTTACTCATTACACGAGCAACTTTGGTAGAAAGTCGTTCGCGACATCTACTAGCCCTCCGAGGGAAGTTCGGAGGTAGCTTTGTTAAGATCCTTATTGACACGGGTGCTTTGGATAATTTTGTGGCTGCAGACATAGTCCGGCAAGCCGGACTAACGGTGCAGCGGCTAGGCGAACCAAGGACTATAGAGTTTGTTCAAGGTAGCCAAAGCACCGATGAGGTACTTCGACAAGCGAGAGTCGAAGTGGGGACATGGAAAGTGGACATGGATTTCACCATGTTGGACATGGCGGGATTTGACGTGATCTTCGGAATGGATTGGTTTAATCGGTTCGTGGTAGCCCTGCATGGACAAGGTAGGAACCTTGTGGTATTGGCGAATGCCCAAGGAAGAAGATCTAGGGTGGAGGCCCAGGATCTAAAGGTAGGGCAAAGCAAAGCCAAAGAGTCATGCTTAAACCTGGTGTCCACGAGAGGACAACTCACTAAAGGGACTAAGGCAGCCTTTTTGTGCTTACTCTCGGTGAAGAGTGACAAAAAGACAAGAACGGAAGAAGTACCTTTAGTGATCCAGCAGGTGCTGGACCAATTCCAGGATACGATGCCGGAGGAGCTACCGGCGGGGTTGCCCCCCGCACGACCGATAGAACATAAGATTGAGCTGGTCGAGGGTGCTGAGGCGGTGGTTCGTCCACCCTATCGATTGAACGAAAAAGAACTCAAGGAGCTCAAGAGCCAACTAGAGGAGTTGGTGGACAAAGGGTATGTTAGGTTGAGCAAGTCGCCGTATGGG